AAACAGATTTTTTGTAGTCTGAATTTTTTAGTGTGTATATAAAAGTGTGTTTGTGTGTGTGGGTGGGTGTAAATTTTTTGTACTCTAGATGTTGTAGAGTGTCACCCCTTTACTGCGGTATACTTCTTTCAAGAATCGTGGACGATTTGTAGATTGTACTTTTTTTTTTTTCCAATTTTTTTGTGTTCACATACCAAATGCCAAAAAAGTCACCAAGTTTCGTAACATTCCGATGAAGCTGTGATTTTTAATAATTCAAAACAGAAAATTATTCGGTCAGAAGTGACCGAGGACCATCAGAGGGTTAATTAGCATAGGTATCAGTCCTAAAATATACTAAGTAATAATAATAATGATCAAATTCAGCCATCCTTACTATAAATCACACACAACATCCTTGAATCATCACACACAGTCATGCAACATTTACATTTTCGAAAAGCTACCTTTCTGAGCATTTTTAGTCATGTTATGTAGATACAAGAAGTATTGTTGTTTGAACAGAAGGAAATGGCACGTTTCCCTGGCATTGCACACACTCAAGATCAAATCAGCAACAGTCAGGAAGTTAAGAGTGATTGTGTAACACCAAGTTTCTGCAAGAAAACATCATTCTAAAGTGCTATTGCTTCATCTTACGGGAGGCTCACACTACAAGACTCTCTGCTGGATTGTGCAGTAGCAGACAGATTCAGATCTGCGGCCAAACCCCTGGATCAGTTTCCACGTTCACATAATTACATTGTGATGTATTCGGAGAGGTTCACGTCCTCGAACTGGGAATTATGCTTTTCTATGCCATCAGTATCAATGCTTTTTATGTTGTAATTCTTGCATGAATTTATGTGGAAAAACCGTTTGCCGTTTGTCACGACTGCCTCTTGAGCAAATGTCTTGTAGTTTGTGCACCCCATAAGCAATGTGTTGTGTAGTAAGTCTCAAAAACCCTGTTTCTTACGTTACGTCACAAACTAGGCTACCTAGTTGCAACCAATCCAGTCACGAGGGGTGCGGGCTTTAGCATATCATCATTCACTATGCTGTGAAGCAGGGGAGTCTCAAGAAAAGCCAGGATATCCCGGTATATTTTTTGTCTGTTGATATGAAAAATCAGGTACTTTTAGCCATAATAGCATGTGAATTATGTTTATAATGTATATTATGATGAACTATATGCCTTTCTCCACTGATATTCTGAGTTGTTCAAACTCAAAGCATTTCTAAGGATGGTTTAGAGACAGTGGTGACTGTCTGATTCTGAGAATCAGGAACATGGTTTGTTAACACATTATTAGCTCAAATATTATATTATATATTATGAAACATTATTAGAAAGCTATGCATTTTCCCCATAGACTTTTGGAAAATCGCCAAAAATAAGATTCAACAAACAGTTGGGACCCTTACACGTTTTGTCTATCAAGATAATCTTTACACGTTAATCCAAAATTTATACATTTTGAAGCGTATATAAAGTTTAACACTGGTGTGTTTTATGTCAAATATCAATACATGAAAATATTTAGAGGCTTTGTTCACCACAGACCTTATTTCAGGCGATTTAGCATTCAAGAAACGCATAGACTTTAGGTTAAAAATGCTAACTCACTTCTGCGTTTTGGCCTACAGTGACGTCATAACTTCGGCACTCTATTAGATTGAACTGTTAAAGAAAGTATTATTAGTAAGCAAATACGCATCTATATCATTTAAACGCATATAATCGCAATGCTGAAACTTCTGTATATTACTTTATAAAAGACGCTGATACAAATATTGAAAATACCGCAACACGCGCACATGGAGTGTATGTGAAGGCGTTACATTTACAGCTATTTTAAGGCATGAATAAATTTTTTTGACAGTAAAAAACATTTAAAAGGCATTTGGGTGGTTAAAGATGAGTTCTAAGGGATGTATACAATGGGACTTTAACACTCATGAAAGTTTTTGAACTCTGCTGTATTGTATATTTCCTTTTAAAATGAACCGAGTTGCGAGGATACACATTGCAACAGTAGATTTGCTAAAAACATCTAAAGGAAACTGATTCAGCAAAATTTGGGTCACATGGCGGCACACATACTGTAAATAAAAAAGTCTTAACAATTCAACTCAAAATGTACTGAATTTTACTTTCCCGGTGCAAAATCAAAGACATGCACAATTTACAGATTTTTTTTTTCTCATCTTGAGAAGAATTAAGTGACTAAAGTCAAAAAATGACAGTAACTTCCTCTTTTTGGCCTGGCCACAGTTTCCTCTCCTCAACAACAGCCGCACACTTACCCTGTCGACTGACGCATGAAACACTGTAGCCAACCGACATTCTCAACATCCCGGTTTACATTTATAATTACACAATTTTATACAATATTGCATATGCATGACCTTAACAAAGACTGCAAAACAGCTGGACTAATGTATTAACCACAGAAGGAGCCAAACAGACAACAAAATATGAGTGTGTTTTTGTGTGTGAATCTACGCATGCGTTAGTCTCTGCACATGTGCGACACCTCGTTTGCATAGGCGGAGGGTGAACCGACTCCAGGGTAATGTTAGATGCGCTTCCTCCTTAAAAACACGTTTTGAATAGTATGTCAAAACTAGTATGGTTTCAAGTTACGTGTCATCTAGCAACCAGCATAAATGCTTATTGTTATTAAAGCGGCTACCTTCGTGATTTAGCATGGCAGCCAATTCGAATAATAAATAATAGGGGTGTAATAATGTGACGTGTCACAATATATTGCAATGCAAAAATGCAACAATATATATTGCGGATATATTTCGTCCAAAATAAAAAATTACTGTGTCAGCTTTGTGATATGTATCGAATCCTGACGTGAGGGTCTCGTTACATCCCTAAAAAATAACCGTTACCGCAATGCAGCAAAAAAAAGTTTTATTTAAATTAGGGATGCACCGATATGACAATTTTGGCCGATACCGATAACCGATAATTCTTTATATTTGAAAGCCGATAACCGATATTTTGGCCGATAAATCAAAATCCAAATTTTTAGACAATTTTTGATTTTCTTCATTAAAAGCCAAGATAAAAACACAATTATGATGTTCTTATTTTACTGTTGTGTAGCCGATATGACAGACTTGCGCTGCACATTTTTCACTTTAACTGGATTTTCCTTTTTTAAAGTGATTTCAATCGTATTTCAAGCAATTTAAAAGCATTATGTTGAACAGTTCACATCTAAAGTGCCTCAGCTCAAGGAAATAATACATTAGTTATCGGCTTTTAGATATCGGCTTAATGTTCTTGTCGGGCCGATATCGATAACATTGAAAATGATCATATATCGGCCGATACCGATAATGTGGCCGATGCATCCCTAATTTAAATACTGAATGGATTATAAGCCTAGTCCAGTTTTCAAATTTATCCACTTTGGAAAGCGTTTTCAAAAAGCTTTGCTTTCAAACGTTAAAAAAACGCCACTGTTTAAGGGGCTGTTTAAAACAAAACCGTTTTCAACTAAAAACGTAAAACTTTTTATACACGACAACAGCGTTTTCGGGTGGCTGAAAACACAAACTTTAGAAAACGGGATTCAACGTGCAAGTTTTTGAAAACGGTCCGGGTCCGTGTAAACAACAAAAACGCGAATCTCATGCTCATGCGTATTACACGTTCAGTCTATAGTGTTTCATCGCCATCTAATGGCCTGGCAGCAGAATACAGCGCATTTAGTTATTTTCACAGACCCGTGTGAATGGGGATTGCTTTGACAATGGTATCGTCTGCACGCGGAAAACTCAAAGGAAAAGCTTCTCCTTTTAATACATATTGCTGTCGTGTAAACGTATTCCACGACGCGTTTTCAAATAGCTTCGTTTTCATTAATAAAAACGCCGTCTCATTGTGGACAGAAGAGAGAAAAATATACGTTTTCAAACAAAAAAGTGCTAGTGTGGACAAGGCCTAAGGTGTTTACATGCCGGTTTATTGCGATTAAAATCGGTGTACGCCACTTAGTTTAATGTGAATCTGGTTACTACGATTGTGACCTTAAATCGCATTAGTTTGATCGAAATATTGCGTTTACATGAGATAGTTTAATCGCATTATGAGGGTGCATGTTCACTAAACCATTTTAATAATAACACTGGTTCCCTTTTTTCATACTGCACATCCAAAAATTTTTTTATTTTTAAATCATTTTAAATGCTACAATTTAAGTATTTAAGTACAGTTTAAATCTAAATTGCAGCATTTAAAAAATATTTATTTTTAATAATTTTATTTCAGACCAAATAATACAGAATTTTAATGCCAATAATTTTGTGACCAAAATACAAATAATAACCAAAAGATTATTTATTTATTATGGCATAATGAGGAACTTTTCATTATAAACAAGCCCGAAATACACCTGGGATTTTTATTTGGAAATGTCTATGCTTTTAATTTTAGCTGCTTATTCAAAAAGAGGAGGGAGATAAAATGTGCACTCATAACCATTCACAATATTTTACAGAATAGACAGCATAAAGTTATGTTACAGTATATACAGCACTGTCATAATTCATCAACATTCATAAGCCATCACTTTGCATAAATGTGAGGTTCTCAATAATTGGGAAATGCTCTGAAACCGCAAGCCTGTCAAACACGTATTTGTATCTAATTAACTAGAATCAGCGTTTTTTTTTTAAGATTAATCATCACATCAGGCCATTTGGTAATTCCTGTTTTTCTGTCCCCAAATTTAACAGTGACAATTAAGACTTTAGTCTATTTAAGACATACCATCAATATAAATCCATGTAATGTCACCAGGCGAACCACAACAATTTAAGATTGGTATTTTCCTTGCATATTCCCATATTTCTATCTGAAATCACATTTCAGATAGCTTTAAGACACCACAAAACAGCCACAATAAAATGACAGAGAACTTTCTCTATACGAGTGAACAGTTTATATGACATGAATGTGACTGGACATATTTGATATAAACGTGAGTTGTGTGTACCTATAGTCTGACGTAACTCCTCACACAGGCTTATATGAGGGAACTGAAGCATCTGTTTCCATTTCTTGCTCTTGCCTTTTCTGTTCCCACCCCCTCCTGCAAAGGAATCAAGCAAAGATCAAATTAGAGGCAGGAACTGCATTCAGGCTCTAAAATGCTATTAGATTACTATCTTAACACAGGTGGGCCTTAGAAGACAGAATACGTATATGTTATCCTATTATGTGAATAATAGTTCTTCAATTAGGGCACTTTTGAAAGCTTGAAAAATAAGACTTCTTCAAACTGTTTCATGGATGTTCTATGGAAGCTTGTTTCCGCCACTAAATAAAATAATAATAATAATAATTGCGACTTTTCATCTCACAAGTGCGAGATATAAATTCGTAAGTCTGAGATTAAAAATAAAGTCTTTTAATCACACAATTCTGACTTTTTATCTCACAATTACGAGTTTACACCAGGATACACCAGCGGTTCGCAATGAGAGTATCGCGATTCGAATCGTGAGTTCAGTATCGCGGTTTTTCGGTTCGGTTCAAATATCGTTACACCCCTAATATTTATAGAATAATTATTTACAGTAATATACATGATCAAATCTAAACCAAACAAATCAAATCTCAATTCCGGTCCGGATATGATACCGTGTACGTCACTCACTGTTACCTTTCACTGTGAAGATCTAAACATATTTAATTATACAGTGGAAGACGATTCCGATATATCAACAGACAACTTTTTTTTTCACAACCGCTTGAGAGATCAGACCGAAGCGTCCGCGCCCTGTGGTTACAAGAGGTAAAAACGATATAAATACTGTTCGTTTTCTCACACAAAACGCTCGTTTCGTGCCTTAGGCCATCAATGTGTACTTACATTTACGAGTCATTAAATCATGTTTAATTTGGACTTCTCTGTGCTGCTCTTTGAGGTGGTGACCATAGACCTCCATTATATGACTGACAGACAAGAACCTAAAAATATCAAAATTGAAACTGCTTCGGAAACAAAGACACCTACATCTCGGATGCCCTTGAGGTAAGATAAAACATACCAAAAATTAATTTCAAAGTGAACTATCCCTTTAAGACTACAATATTTAAAGGGTTAGTTCACCCAAAAATGAAAATTCTGTCAGTATTTACTCACCCTCATGTTGTTCCAACCCCGTAAGACCTTCGTTCATCTTCGGAACACAAATTAAGATATTTAAGATAAGATCGCTCCTGCATACAGTCCATAGGCTTCTTGAGGGACTGGCTCTTGCTGTCCTCGAAAAGTCATTAAAGACATCGTTAAAATTGTCCAAGTGACTACAGGGGCTCAATCTTAAGTTTATCAAACGACGAGAATACTTTTGTGCGCAAAAAAACAACAAAAATAACGACTTTATTTCAACTATTCGTTTATTTCTCCCTCTGCGCGAGTCAGGTTACTAGTTTAATAGCGTAAGCTTCTGTTATTGTACGTCACACGCATCACACACACATGACCAGCGTCGGCCAATAGTGAGCCTACGTGTGACGTGGCTCTACGCAATCACACTACGTTAACTGACTTACAGGCTCATGGAGAAGGAAGTGAATAGTTGAAATAAAGTCGTTATTTTGTTGTTTTTTTGCGCACAAAAGTGTTCTCGTCGTTTGATAAACTTAAGATTGAGCCCCTGTAGTCACTTGGACTATTTTAACGATGTCTTTAATGACTTTTCGGGGACAGCAAGAGCCAGTACCTCAAGAAGCCTATGGACTGTATGCAGGAGCGATCTTAATATCTTAAATATCTTAATTTGTGTTCCGAAGATGAACGAAGGTCTTACGGGGTTGAAACAACATGAGGGTGAGTAAATACTGACAGAATTTTCATTTTTGGGTGAACTAACCCTTTAAGGGAGTTCAGAAACAGTGCTTAATGAGAGATAGACGCCTTATTCACGGCAGCGCCATCTTTGATTTTTAATGAGAATGAAAGCGAGGCTGTGAGGGATAGACTTGCATCTCTTCAATGGGCTGTACTGTTATTTAATGTGTTTTCGGATTGTTCTGCTCATGAAACACTGGAAAAATATCTTTTTGTCAAATGTCAGTTGACAAAAAACTCCCGACAATGTAAGCTGTGAGAAATTGTAAGTAATCTAGCCGCTTTATTCAGCTTTTTACAGCGGATGCCATTGGAAACACGGTAAGTTTATCCCTCACAGCCTCACTTTCATACCTGTCATGGCGCTGCTCTGAATAAGGTCTATAGCCTAGAGAATAACTTGCTTTGGAGTGACTTTGTGCTTTGTAACCTTAACAGCAACATTACACACTAAAGAAAGTTAAACATGTAAACAAAGAAAAATAGGACCCCCTTTAAATTAGTATCAAACTCAATTTGAAGTATTCCGGCCTATCATGAACAGGCGTGAGATTTAGTCCCGTTCAGCTCGCATCTAACACGTCCCTGGATTGATTTCAGGAAAAGAATCACGCCGATGCCGCGAGAATGTCCCGCTGGCCCGCACTCGTCCTCGCTGACGTCATCGGGGCAGCTCGGGCTCCCCGGTTGGAATGACTGGCCCAGGTGCCGGCCCGGCGAGCTTGTCAACAGACAGCGCGGAGAAAGGTCAGGAAGCGATGCTGCGCGCGGGACACGCTCGACGGGAGTGGAGAGGACTCTCGTGAAAGCTACGGCCAGGTGTTTGCATTGTTGCTAGGTTATGGGAGAATTTGAAGAATAGATTCGACGCTAATGGGATGGATGGGATGGGAGGGCAGAAGATAAAATGATTACAAATGTACGGGAGAAGCTTGTGACTGCGATCTGATAAGAGTTCAAAACACGACTGTATGTTACAACAAAGCCTTTCTCACATAAGAGACTCTGAGAAACCTCATTATCTTACATCATCAAAACCTGCTGTGAAAGACCAGACTTTACGTATTAATTATAAGTTGAGGTGCAAAGTCAGGCAGAATGCAGTTCAAACAAATATTCATGATGTAAAAATCATCAAATTACATGATTTTTGACCATTAAACTGCCTCTGTGCTGGTAGAGATGTCCCACACTCTTAGAAGAAAAGGTTCTATATAGAACCTGAAAAGGTTCTATATAGAACCTTAAAAGGTTCTATTAGCGCTATGTATTTGGAACCCCTAAAAGGTTCTATACACTTTAAAAAAAAAGGGTTCCTCTGGGTTCTATATAGAACCCTGGGTTCCGTACTTGGCCAATAGAACCTTTTACAAAAAAAAAAACAAAAAAAAATGGTTCTATATAGAACCATTTTGGAGCAAGCGGGGATGGAACCATTTCTGGTTCTAAATAGAACCATTTCTTCCAAGAGTGCATGATAACAAATTTAAACTTTTTGCTAAAATGATTGCGGTGATGATGATGATGACCGCAGGTTTGCGGACAGTCATTCTTTATTACACAGACATTAATGTAAAAAATTAATTTTCTAATGTATTAACTAACAATGTACAATACATTTGTTACAGAATTTATTCATCTTTGTTAATGTTAGTAAAAATGCAGCTGTTCATGTTAGTTCATGGTGCATTAACTAATGCTAACAACTGCAACCTTTGATTTTATTTGTATTAGTAAATGTTGAAATTAATATCAACTAACATTAATAAATGCTGAAGAAGTGTTGTTCATGTTAACTAATGTTAACAAATAAACCTTATTGTAAAACGTTAGCAAAAAATGATACAATGTTCAAAAGTTTGTGGCCGGAAAGATTTTCTTTTTTAATGTTTTTGAAAGAAGTCTCTTATTCTCACCACAGCTGCATTTATTTGATCAGAAATACAGGAAAATAGCAATATTGTGAAATATATTATAATTTAAAACAATTTTAATTAGGGCTGTCAAACGATTAATCGTGATTAATCGCATCCAAAATAAAAGTTTGTACTTACATAATATATGTGGGTGCACTGTGTATAATTATTTTGTATATATATATATATATATAAATACACACACATGCATGTATATTTAAGAAACAAAATATTATTTATATAAAAAATATTGATATTTTACAGTATATACATGAAAATATTTCTTAAATATATACAAGCATGTGTGTGCATTTTGTATATATAAAAAAATAATTATACACAGTGCACCCACATACTGTATATTATGTAAACACAAACTTTTATTTTGGATGCGATTAATCGCGATTAATCGTTTGACAGCCCTAATTTTAATACATTTTAAAATGTAATGGCAAAGCTGCAGAAATCATTCTAATATGCTAATATGATTTGTTGCTCAAAGAACATTTCATATTATAATCAATGGAGACGACATTGTGCTGCTTAATATCTTTGTGGAAACAGTGAAACATTTTTCCCAGGATTCTTTAATGAATAGAAAGTTCAGAAGAACAGCATTTTGCTTTAACGTCAAAGTGTGCAATTTGCATTTCAAACAAATGGCTTTCAGTGGTGAGATTACGATGGCACGGACACAGAAGCAAACGTCTGTCATTATCATTGTGGGAAGTTGCCAAGATGCAAATGGCTTGTGAAATCCACAGTTTATGCAGCAGCAGTGCAGAGGTGAAGAGGTTTCATTCACTGTGTGCAAAACTTGCCTCCAGCACGAACCCTGCTTTAATCACACTATTCACGATATAAATCAAAGTATAGAACATAGCATATAAAACATCTTCCTTGTGCTTTCAGTGTGACGGATCCTCTGAGAAAAAGTGGAACGAGCCTGTGGGTTCCCTGCTTTGAAATGAAACACCTCCATTGTAAAAAAGAAATGCTTAACTTTAAGAATCAAACCAGCACATGACCACCAGACTGAAGAGACTATAAGGGAGTAAACAAGAAGTTAAATATATGTTTGGGGTGCGGATCGGCTATTTATTCCTTAAAGCTCATTACAAACAGATATGAACAACACGGGTATAGAAATTAATAGTTTAGCCTAAATCAATGTAAAATAACTGCACTTTGTTCACTGTAGAAATGAAATATAGTTTAAACTTTAATCTTTGTTAAAGCTGTATTTTGTAGTTTTATTAATGTTAATGACAGAAGGAATATTAGGCTGCCGAACCCTTGCCTTTAAACTTTAAAATTGCCATGAAACAGAATTTGCGATATTCCTTTCTTCCCAATTGTGATGTATATCCAAGTGAAACAAGAATTGATTGAAATGTTTTGGGTTGTTATTGGTTGATCTCATGTGAGTGACGGGTTGTCCCACGCTCGGTAAATGTGTCATCAGAGAAGAGGGAGGGAAAGTTAATTTGATTAAGGATTACGGGCACACTATTATTTTTTTTTAATCAATGATGTGCACAGATAAATCATTAATATTAAATACAACCCATATTACACTACTGCAAAGCCAATTTTGATCCCAAAATGAAAATAAAAATGTATGTTGTACAACATAAATATAGAGCTCTACCTAACTTACTTAGATAAACTAGTGCTAAATATAATCTTAAAAAAAAGGAGGAGACAATTCCTCATTAAGCAATCATACAGCAGTGACAAAACTGAAACCATCTATGGATTGTAATAAGACAGCTTTCAACATTTTAAAATGTCCTGTAATTTGTAATACATTGCCTGGTATGTTTAGCAAGGGGGCCACACTAAAAACTTATTTTTGTATTTTGTAATGAATGTAAACCTAGAAAAATGTACACTGATTGTATGCATCAGTTTACAGAATGACATTATCTACAATCACAACGATATTTTCAATATCCCATTGTTCGTTTTCGTAGTGCAAGTGTTCAACACAAAACACAGCAGGATTCCCTCATGTTTGAGAAATACACCTGCAGAACGAAATGATAAACTACTGAAAGTGCCTACTAGACACCATTTTCCACTATCAAGTAGGTAGACGGATCACTATATTGTAAAACTATATTGAGGGTCGTTTAATTCAGAGGTTCAGTTAATTCAGGCGCTTATCTCGAGCGCACACACACAATGACTGTCTAATGACTGTTGTTATAACACAACAGTATTTATCGCTTCTCCTTTATTCGGAAACCGATTGTTCACTAGAAATGTCGTAAAATATTTGACAGAAACGGAGATGTTTTTTTTGATTGACAGGTACATCTTTTTCTGCTCAAGGTTAGGAACACAACACATACTGTAGCAGGCGGCGAGCAATACACCATAATCAATGTGTAACTCGTATATAAATAAGCATCATAACGCATGCATTCTTTGCATTGCTCTTGTCTTTTTTGGCCTAACTTCCTTTGGGGGAATCCCCCATCTTTTTGAGCCAGATCGCACGGCGTTTGAGGAACTGAGCTGTCAAAAGTGACAATGATCAGACGGGCTGTCATGTCTTACCTTCTCTCGCCTTCAACAGAACAGTGTTGGCCACGATATTCTCGAGCTCCATGTTTCCTGGGTTGCAGGCAGGCACCGCAGGCCCAACCTCGTCGCCGGGTTGGCTATGTGTGTATGTGTGTGTATGTGTGTCCTCCCCCGCTCCCCCCCACGGCGGAATATTATTAACCCTGAGTGACTCTCAGCTCTGCCGTTTCGCTCCTCTGATTCCCCGCCCAGAAGCTTCGGACTGGCGTCGATCGTTGAGCCTACTACGGCAAAGGCTGAGCTCATGAATATTAATGAGACATGCTGACGTTGCTTGGTAACCGACCCGGAGCGTCTTTTTTATTTTGTTTTTATTTTACATTTTTATATTTTTTATTAGTGTCACATCTCATATAATAAACAAATAATTCGCATGCCTCAACAAGAAAATAAAAAAAAAGCATCGGTTTACGAATAAATTAACAATTCCAGAGAGTATCGACCCGGAGCGTCCTGCTTGAACGGTCCGGAACGGTCCTGTGGAAAACAAAAGAAGAATATCTTATAAGAAGAGCATTACTTTACCGCTGTATGTGATTGATTTAACATATAAGAAGAACTGACATATTTTCAGTCAGATGTACAGACTAGTGTAATAACTAGGGCTGTGCAAAAATTAATTGCGATTAATCGCATCCAAAATAAAAGTCTGTGTTTACATACTATATTTGTGTGTGCTGTATATAATTATTTTGTATATATAAAAACACACACACATGCATGTATATATTTAAGAAAATGTGTTATTCATATATAAAATATTTATATTTATATAATATAGATTATATACAGGTATTTATATATACAAAATAATTATATACAACACACACAAATATATTACGTAAACACAGACTTTTATTTTGGATGCAATTAATCGCAATTAATTTTTGCACAGCCCTAGTAATAACAAATGATAGATAGACTAGACGATATTTGAAGGCTTAGATAAATAATAGTCCAAGCTTAACTCTTGAATATTTATAAGATTATGCTGACATACTTTTTTAGAATTATTATAAATAATACTTTTTGGCCACCACTGTGTGTAATATATATATATTATTATTTATAATAATGTCGCTTCTGCTCGCCAAGGCTTCATTTATTTAATTCCAAAATACAGCAAAAACCGTAATATTGTTTTAATGTAATTTATTCCTGTGATCAAAGCTGAATTTTCAGCATCATTACTGAATTTTCAATTTTTAGTGTCACGTGGTCCTTCAGAAATCATTTTTAAATGATGATTGAACAGTTGTGTACAATTTTTAATTTGATATATATATATATATATATATATATATATATATATATATGTATTTGTTTTAATGCTCATTATTGTTGTCCTAATAATGTTTGTACATTTGCTTTATGTAGTAAAAGGTCTATAAAAACCACGTGATCTGCTTAATAGTTTCGTTCTTTTTTAATCAGACTTTTGCATGTTCGTACTTGTCTTTTGTCAAAAACTATAATATGTTTCCGTATCCCCATATATATCTGCTTAATCTTATTCGATGCTTTTTATTATTATTATTATTATTATAACCATATTGTTGAATATATAAGCTGATCGTTGTCTTTTCTTTGATGACATCACTTTTTTTTTTCAGACATGCGGGGTGCCACAACAACAGAATATATGCAGCTCTAAACTTGTATTTACATAAACTGCAGACGAAATGCACTCGTACTTGTGCGTTTTGCAAAGCTTAGTTTATATCTCCATCTAGAGGTAATCGGTTAGGCTATACCTAAGTAATTATTTAAAAGCGATTTTTTTCTAATATAATAATAATAATTATAATAACAATATAATAAATAATAGTAATAGAGTCTTCCATATCCTCACTCTTCTCTATTCGCGATAACAGAATGAAAAATTTGATAACACAATCACTACTAGCAAAGCTCGTGTCTCCATCTTTGACGGCAGGTGGCGCTATGGAACCATCTCGATGCGTTTCCCCTTTGGAGAAGAAGTCGTTACTTCCGCGTTCCTCAAACACGCGTGTTGCAGTGTAAAGACAGTTGTTGACTGGTGTTTTAATTTACAATTATGGGTAAACTCAAGAAAAATAGTAAACGTAACACGTTCGATTACAATAAAAACAAGAAGAACCTGAAAAGGAAGCTAAGAAGAAAGGATAAACCGCTAATTGAATGGTATGTTCAGGGACATGCTAAATGGCTATCTTGTTAAAAATGTTGTTGTTTTTTAAGTTATTGGCCTGGTTTCACATAAAGGGCTTATATTAGGGCTTAGTTACATTTAAGACATGTAGGTATCTTTTATAAACATGCCTTAGAAAAAAAAAAAAAACGAGACAAAACAATGGCACTGACATTAAATACATGACACAAAAGTTTCAATAGAAGTGACATTAAACTAAAACAGTAGTTAACCATTGATGCATGTCAGTACATTTAGCTGTATGGTACACTTTAGCCATATTTCAGTACAAGTAATTATTACATAAAGATGTATTTTTGCATGTTTTGTTGCATTTAATTGAGTTAACACATTTTAATTTAATTACAGTTAACTTGAGATTAATTGTCCGAAAACATTGCAGTCATTTAGCTGAATTCTTTATAAGAATTTTATTTTTTAATCCTTTGTGGGTCAATTTAAAACAGTTACTCCAAAGTCCTCAAAAAATGGTCATTTTTTTTTTAGCACAGACTTTATTTTAAAGAGAACCTGTGGCATATTATTGTTGAATTTTATATGAAATATATATTTAATAACAAATATATGAAGATATGAAGAGTTCAAATGCAAAAGCCTCTAAGTGCAATTTGAAATTTTCTTCTAGAATGGTCATTTTTATCAAGCCTGTATATTAAAGTTCAGTAATTTCACTTAAATGACAATGAAGATTACCTATTAATTGTCATTTGAGTGAAATTACTGAACTTGAATATACAAGCTTGATAAAAATGATCATTCTAGAAGAAAATTTAAAATGGCACTTAGAGGCTTTTGCATCTGAGCTCTTTATAGCGGTTTAAAAATCAAAGCCATACATCGAAACAAAAGTTTATATCTATATGGGGGTGAGTAAATTATCAGCAAAAGTTTTTTTTTTTTTTTTTTTTTTTTTTTTTTTTTTTTTTTTTTTAAGTTAACTACTCATTTAAGGTTCTGAATGCAACTATTGTGTACCTAGTGTAAAATAGATTTATTAAAGGAGGACGAAATTAAAATTCCAATTAAAAAAAACAGGAAAAAGACATAAATGTCCTTAAGGATGCTCAAGGGTTAGTCTTTTCACAAGGGTGCTGTCATTTGAAACATCTGTCGTTGACTTTTACTCTACAATGTTATGAAAATGAAACGGGTTATCTAACAAGTCCTCAGATACGCAAAGCTTGGGATGAACACAAAACAGTGAAGCAAAATCTTCAAGACATGGGGCTGTCAGCTGGGACCAAGGGCATGCTTCCTATTAAACCTAAAAAGGCAAGTAGCTTGAATCACGGTTACAGTGTGTTTCTACAAATACCGCCTGATCGCGACGACCAATCGCTTTAATCTGATGTTTCAGGACACGAAAAGTGACCCAACGGAGGCAGTTGTGTTGAAACCCTATGTCATAAAAGGTACGTTTTGAAACCAGCGCTTAAGAATGAGATGTTGTAATATGTTCATGCACTGCCGATATGATTTGGTTTCTGAATCTCGCCTGCAGAAATGGAGGCTGAGGCCAGTCTCCGTGGGAAAGACAGAACCACGTGCTCCACCGACATGATTGAATATGTTCAACACATGGTGAAGGAACACAATGAGGATTACAAGGTCAAAGAGAGCCGTATATATATATCCATGATCCTTCTTGTGCACAAGTAACACTCTTTAGACTGATCATGCTTTATTGACGTTTCAGGCGATGGCACGGGACGAGAAGAATTACTACCAGGACACGCCGAAGCAGATCAAGCGGAAAGTGGAATTATTCAAACGGTGTCATCCTGACGAGTATGCCGCGTTCATTGCGTCTCTGCAATCTCAGAAGTCTACGTGATGTCAGTGTGGAGACACTGTCCGGCAAAGTTTATATCCAACCTGCTTGTGATTTTTATTATTTTTTTAAAGGGATAGTTCACTTTGAAATTAATTTTTGGTATGTTTTATCTTACCTCAAGGGCATCCGAGATGTAGGTGTCTTTGTTTTTCGCAGTAGTTTCAATTTTGATATTTTTAGGTTAAAGCGTTCTTGTGTGTCAGTCATATAATGGAGGTCTATGGTCACCACCTCAAAGAGCATGAACAGAGAAGTCCAGATTAAACATAATTTAATGACTCATTAATGTAAGTACACATTGATGGCCTAAGACACGAAACGAGCGGTTTGTGTGAGAAAACAAGTGATCTGAGGGTGCAGGTGCTTTGTGGGTAAAAACGATATAAATACTGTTGGTTTTCTTACACAAACCGCTCGTTTCGTGTCTTAGGCCATCAATGTGTACTTACATTTACGAGTCATTAAATCATGTTTAATTTGGACTTCTCTGTGCATGCTCTTTGAGGTGGTGACCATAGACCTCCATTATATGACTGACCTAAAAATATCAAAATTGAAACTACTGCGGAAACAAAGACACCTACATTTTGGATGCCCTTGAGGTAAGATAAAACATACCAAAAATTAATTTCAAAGTGAACTATCCCTTTAAGGGATCCTGAAGAGTGTGATTGGCTGGTTTCGGTGTGCTTGTTTAAAGAGCTAAACTCTGCAGGACTGGTGAAAGCGGTGTTGAAGACCTCTAAGGAACAGTTACTGTCTACTATGGCATCTTCAAGAACATGTAAACCTTTAATTGTTTGTATTTGTAGATGTATATAAGCTTTGCATTTGTAAGTGTATGTTGTGGAGTGAAATGCAGACATGTATAAACTCATAAATTACAATTCATTCTGACTTTTTTAATGGGTATGTCTTGTGTGTTTTGGCAAATACATAGGATTGAAAACAACAATCTGGGACAGTGCGACATGAAGGAAAAATCTGGGGTATGTTCAGCCATATCGAAATAATTTAGAGGTGTTTTTAAAGAGCTTTATTGTGTTCATACACTACCGTTAAAAAGTTTCGGGATAGTATTTTTAATGTCTTTTAAAAATCTTCTGCTCACCAAGGCTGCATTTATTTAATTGAAAATACAGTAAAAAAAAGCAATATTATGGAATATTTTTACATTTTAAAATAACTGTTTCCTAAATTAATATATTGTAAAATGTCACTTATTCCTTTGATCAAAGCTGAATTTTCAGCATTATTACGCCAGTCTTCAGTAACTATGTTTCCATCCAAAGGTATGGATTTATCTTGTGTAAACAGTTGTAACATTTGGCGATAAAGTAGTTTCCATATGTTCAAGAGAACAAACTATCACAGAAATTGGCTCACAAGCCGGCGTTTTAACTTGTCACCAGCATTGTAAATCCTGCAAAGTGTATTTTTAATATTTTCATTAAATATATAAGTACATTGCTGTATGTACAGTTGAAACACTATACTTTCTATTATATTACTTTTGCATCAAATTACAAAAAGATCTAAATACCACTAGTTTGTAATGCTTTTTGACGCAGTTCTCGTCTGACTGCCAATCTCTATATATTTTCCCCCGTTTTAAAAGTTCCCCTATTGTGGAAAATATATTTAATGTAGTCTCACATTCACCGCTATAGAAGTTTACCCAACTATTATGACGACTTCTGCTTCTGAGAAACCTGGAAATGTGCATGGGGAAATGTTTCGTCCTTTAATCAATCACACAGATTTCTATTGAAATTACAGGATTTTGCCTGTAAAATTTCACTGAAAAATGGCGAATGTGACCGCAAAATTGATTACACCAACATTAGGATAAATAATGTTTTATTAAAATATAATCAAAGTCTTTTTTTATCTGACATGTCAATTATTTTCTGCAGTACATTGCCAAAATGACGTTGGGTGTTAAATTCTGTAGTGCTCCGAGAGACACTTGTCGCTTTATTTTATGTCACGTGCTCCATAGCATGGTTGTAAATGAGTTAAAATAAAAAAATCTTGACTCGAAATCCTCACAGGACTATAATTGCACTGCATTTTCATTACAAAACTGACTTTTATTTTATTTGTCCATCTATCTCCAGGGTAGGAGTTTCCGTAAGTAATTTGCAATTAATATGGGGTAAATGAGCTGTATTTCAAGAGACTTTTCATATAGTTGTTCTTTCTATCTGAGGTATCCACTATCAACAGCACAATCTGAAACGCTGGGGGCAAAAAAGCGTTCAAGGATTAGTTTTAATCACTACTGGAATGTCCCTATTTCAGCAAAAAAAAAAAAAGATTTCTCTTTAAACAATGTTTTTTTCCATTGTGGCATTATTGCCATGATAATTACAGACGTAATTATCTGTAATTACAGACATGCCCTAAATTCTCATATCAATAAAATAAATAAATAATAATTTGTCCTGAAGTATAAACTTATTTTTAAATTAATTTGTATTTAAATCAGACAATTCATTATATACACATATATGCACACAGATATTTATATATACACATACATTCATATATACACATCATGGCCAAACAAAAACAAAAAAAGTCAGTGTTTGGATTTCCATAGGCTAATACTTAAGAGTCAATGATTGGATAATTATTGCAGTGATTTCCAATAATTTCCAACATTAACTTAATAACTAAGCATCAAATCATCATATTAGAGTGATTTCTGTAGGATCATGTGACTCTGAAGACTGGAGTGATGATGCTGAAAATTCAGCTTTGATCACAGGAATTAAAAGTATATTAAAATTAGAATAAATTCTAGTTTTTATCTAGTTTTAAATGTAAGTATTTACATAAGAGACTTCTTATGTAAGAGTCTTCTTTCAAAATAAGAGACCATAAGAGACTTCTTTCAAAAAACATTAAAAATAGTAATGTTACCAAACCTTATTTTTGACCGGTACTGTATATATATATAGCGTTTCCAGGCTAAATACTTCCTGTTGCAAGCAGGAGAACTTGTCAGCAATACATTAGTTTGTTATTGGAAATATGACTCCACATGCAAAGATAAAACACTCTTTGTGATACTGAATATACTCATTGTGCACTGTAAGTAACTAGCAGCAATAATACCCACATTAGACTCGTTTCGAAAAAATAGTGTTTGTTCAACTCCTTAAGTAGCTTTATCCTGACGGAAACGTTCCTTACGTCTCGCACGATTCGAGGAAGAAAGCCATACATGGAAAGCTCCCTCGTTATGAAATATCCCTTTGCTAGTCTTTAATCGCACAAGCGGTCACACCAGTGTCAGAAGCAGGTCCTGGAAGTGTTGGAGGCCGTCAGATCCCGACTGCGCTTCCAGCAGGAAGAGCTTCCTCTGATCCGCCACAGAGCTCAGGGAAAGAGCCTCGCGCAGCTCCGGCACGCTAACAGCATCAGGCTTATCCTAGCGAGGGTATAAAAAGCATTTTAGTCAAGATTCACAGTGAAACAAAAACCAGGGAGCTTACTACTCTATTAAAGGTATAGTTCAAAAGTGAATATGCCTTACTTTAGCGGAAAACAAAACAAACACTTTGGTCCTATAGAATCGCATGTGAACGCCATCAGTGTTGATCACAGGTTCAGTTTAAAGTCTGTTTAGAGACATTTGATATACATTTTTACCGTACAGTTCCTGTAAATCCGGCCTCTAGTTCATAAACGCCAGAGGAGAACTGGCCCCCGACTGAACCTGGGTTCTCCCAAGGTTTTTTTTTTCCATCCATTGGGTCATCTGATGGAGTTTTAGGACACCATTGGGTCACCTGATGGAGTTTTAGGACACATTTAGGTCACTTGATGGAGTTTTAGGACACCATTAGGTCACTTGATGGAGTTTTAGGACACCATTGGGTCACCTGATGGAGTTTTAGGACACATTTAGGTCACTTGATGGAGTTTTAGGACACCATTGGGTCACCTGATGGAGTTTTAGGACACATTTAGGTCACTTGATGGAGTTTTAGGACACCATTAGGTCACTTGATGGAGTTTTAGGACACCATTAGGTCACTTGATGGAGTTTTAGGACACCATTGGGTCACCTGATGGAGTTTTAGGACACATTTAGGTCACTTGATGGAGTTTTAGGACACCATTGGGTCACCTGATGGAGTTTTAGGACACATTTAGGTCACTTGATGGAGTTTTAGGACACCATTGGGTCACTTGATGGAGTTTTAGGACACCATTGGGTCACCTGATGGAGTTTTAGGACACATTTAGGTCACTTGATGGAGTTTTAGGACACCATTAGGTCACTTGATGGAGTTTTAGGACACCATTGGGTCACTTGATGGAGTTTTAGGACACCTTTGGGTCACTTGATGGAGTTTTAGGACACCATTGGGTCACTTGATGGAGTTTTAGGACACCATTGGGTCACCTGATGGAGTTTTAGGACACATTTAGGTCACTTGATGGAGTTTTAGGGTCACTTGATGGAGTTTTAGGACACCATTGGGTCACCTGATGGAGTTTTATGACACATTTAGGTCACTTGATTGAGTTTTAGTGTCACTTGATTGAGTTTTAGGGTCACTTGATGGAGTTTTAGGGTCACTTGATGGAGTTTTAGGACACCATTGGGTCACCTGATGGAGTTTTAGGACACATTTAGGTCACTTGATGGAGTTTTAGGGTCACTTGATGGAGTTTTAGGACACCATTGGGTCACCTGATGGAGTTTTAGGACACCATTGGGTCACTTGATGGAGTTTTAGGACACCATTGGGTCACTTGATGGAGTTTTAGGACACCATTGGGTCACTTGATGGAGTTTTAGGACACCATTGGGTCACTTGATGGAGTTTTAGGACACCATTGGGTCACTTGATGGAGTTTTAGGACACCATTGGGTCACCTGATGGAGTTTTAGGACACATTTAGGTCACTTGATGGAGTTTTAGGGTCACTTGATGGAGTTTTAGGACACCATTGGGTCACCTGATGGAGTTTTATGACACATTTAGGTCACTTGATTGAGTTTTAGTGTCACTTGATTGAGTTTTAGGGTCACTTGATGGAGTTTTAGGGTCACTTGATGGAGTTTTAGGACACCATTGGGTCACCTGATGGAGTTTTATGACACATTTAGGTCACTTGATTGAGTTTTAGTGTCACTTGATTGAGTTTTAGGGTCACTTGATGGAGTTTTAGGGTCACTTGATGGAGTTTTAGGACACCATTGGGTCACCTGATGGAGTTTTAGGACACATTTAGGTCACTTGATGGAGTTTTAGGGTCACTTGATGGAGTTTTAGGACACCATTGGGTCACCTGATGGAGTTTTAGGACACCATTGGGTCACTTGATGGAGTTTTAGGACACCATTGGGTCACTTGATGGAGTTTTAGGACACCATTGGGTCACTTGATGGAGTTTTAGGACACCATTGGGTCACTTGATGGAGTTTTAGGACACCATTGGGTCACTTGATTGAGTTTTAGTGTCACTTGATTGAGTTTTAGGGTCACTTGATGGAGTTTTAGGACACCATTGGGTCACTTGATGGAGTTTTAGGACACCATTGGGTCACCTGATGGAGTTTTAGGACACCATTGGGTCACCTGATGGAGTTTTAGGACACCATTGGGTCACTTGATGGAGTTTTAGGACACCATTGGGTCACCTGATGGAGTTTTAGGACACCATTGGGTCACTTTATAGAGTTTTAGGAGACCATTAGGTCACCTGATGGAGTTTTAGGACACCATTGGGTCACTTGATGGAGTTTTTTCGGTTCCTTGCCACTGTTGCCTTTGGCTTGCTCAGTTGGGGATATTCAAATTAATTAACCAATCATTAATCCCCTTGATCAGCTCTACCAAACGTGGATGTTTTTCCACCAAGAAACGAACATTGTTATCATGTTTAGATTGATACTGTGAAGCTGCTTTGATTGTGAAAAGCGCAGCGCTATATAAATATACTTGACTTGACAGTGCAGCTTTGGAGCTGTTTTATTGTATGGGCAAAACATATTTCTTCAAAATAGGGTGAACTATCCCTTTAACTAGAGGGGCAAAAAAACAGAAAAACACAGTGGAAATCAATATGAAGCCTTTCCGACACTAAACAGGGTTAAAGTTCAACTATGAACTGAGGCTTTTGGTCACCTGCTTGTTTCCCAAGACCACCACTGGAAGATCAGTGTCTGCTTTCAGTAAGCGATGGAGCTCGTCTTTGGCCTCAGGGAGCCGGCCTCGATCGGAGGAGTCCACCACGTACACCAAGATGTGTGTTTTCCTTAGGTAATCCACCCAGTACATCCGCAAGTCTTTACCACCTCCAACTGATGAGACAAGGTGATCGAGGGATAAACGGTAATGTTTTATTACTGCCATAAACACAGAAGAACAGGCTTTACGCATTAAAGAGCATGCACAGAGAAGTCCAAATTAAACATGATTTAATGACTCGTGAATGTAAGTACACATTGTGTGAGAAAACCAACAGTATTTATTACTTAGGCCATCAATGTGTACTTACATTCACGAGTCATTAAATCATGTTTAATTTGGACTTCTCTGTGTGTGCATGCTCTTTGAGGTGGTGACCATAGACCTCCATTATATGACCGACAAATAAATATCAAAATTGAAACTACTGCGGAAACAAAGACACCTACATCTTGGACGCCCTTGAGCGAAGATAAAACATATCAAAAATTAATTTCAAAGTGAACTGTCCCTTTAAGTACTCTCTAAAATATGCTATCTTTCACAAAGGTGCGCCGGAGGAAAGGGTGATCCGGCACCAATTCGTACTTTCCAGGAAGTCCAGCTGGCACGCAGGTGTATGTACGCTGATGAAGTTGAAGCCGCGAGTGGGCTTTCGGCGGCCCGTCCTGTGGCCCGCTCCACTCAGACCCTGCAGAACACTGCTCTTACCGGCGCCGTCCAACCCGAGAACAAGCACCTGCTTCTCACTGCGCTCCTCCTCTTCCTCCTAAACATACACACATTCATGGAAGAGCAGGCAGGGAAATGAGCTGGATTTAAAGCATGGATTTTAGCACAGGGATTAATTTTGCAATTTCTGCAAATAGTCAAAGCCTTTGCCATCATTAATTAGGGTATTAGTTGTGTAATAACAGGCAGACCGACAACGTTTCTGTTACTTTGGCTATTCTGTTGCTGTTGCAGAGAGGAAAAAACGGTTTTTAACAATAATAATAATATAATTTTCCCTTTCATGTCCAAGAAGCACTTTGTAATAATGTTTTAGTGGCACTGTCTATTCATGATGAATAATCCATATACTTAACTGTTCACAGGTTTGACTCAAAGGAACAACTGAACATCCCCTGCAAGCAAGATTTACTCTTCATATATTATCTAATATTACTATTTAGTATAAAAATGTCCATATTTATTGATTATATGATTTTATATCACGATACGTAAATTCTGATATTTCTGATATTCATGCTCATCTAAACACAGTAATGTTTTAATCATAAGCAATAATTCGTTTGGAACAGTTGTTTTGTTCTCGGGTCAGCTGGGTATTACACTACAGTTAAAAAGCATTACAAATAAATAGAAATGAATAGAATTACTTTTATATCATCTAGATACTGTGACTTCTCAAAATAGAATCCAAAATCACACAGTCGCTATATACGCAGTGTGAACAGTTGAATTAACTGAAAGTCCCTTGATGATTGGCTCCATCAGTCACGCGCGACAAGCGGTCTCATAAAAACAGGAACTATTTCTTTGGTGTCGTACTAACCTCTCGAAACGTGCAGTAGTGTGACTCTGGTGTCCATACCCGTCTTTTATAGAAGACATTGAGCGCGATAAACAGCGCGGTCCCGACCGCAGCCATCGCGGCGCTGAACGCCACGGAGATATGACGCAGAACAACCATAAGCGCACCTGAACCTGGACCTGAAGAGAAGTGTGTGTGTGTGTGTGTGTGAGCGAGCAGAGCGCGAGCTGCTGCCTTTGCTCTCTCCAGTGCAGCACGTGATCCGCCCTGGATTGTTTTGAAAAGCACGCGCCCAGTTTCAGTCGAGGGGCGGAGAACCTTCACTTCTTGGTTTTAAAAATGTTTTATAAGTAATTCTTTTTTTTTTTTTTTTTTACAGTTCAATTTAATAATTCTGCTGTCCATAATTTATGTTGGAATGTGGTGTGTGTGCCAGTGTCACTTTAACTATGGTGTAGGCCTATATTGAAACATATTTTTCGGTTCAAAAACAGACTACAAAACTAACCATGGGACAGAAAAAATATTTTATTATTTGTTTTAGTTTAAACTTACCTAATAAGTGATGCATTATCTCCTACTTGCCGTTGGAGGGCGTTGTTTAGTTGAAATCTGGGGAACTTGTGTTGACAATATTATGTGTTGACATGAATTATTATGCACCTCCATAACTTCCGGATTAACCTTTGTTTTGCATTGCTTGAACTTTTCTGTTTCAAGGGAGTTTAATTTTTTTTTTTAAAAACAATCATCCTAGTATCAAATGACACATTATTACAACTTTTATATTGTGCTATTTTCTTTATTCCATCTTTTTTATGTAATAAAGAGTGTCAAAATAAGGGAAAATGTATACTTTGCATTTTTAAAGAACTTTTTTTAAAGTCGTATTTTCTATTAGTTTGGTTCGCATGTTTAGCATTTATGACAAATAACCACTATCCCCAATAGATTCCCAGCAATCATTTTAAAGAAAGTTTTGAGTCAAAAAATAAATTATATTTGTTTTATATTTTAATTAATTAATTAATTACACCATTTTAAGAAATTATGTTTTTTGAGTTTTATTAAGTGAATTGAATAATAAAAAAACACGATTGTGATAAAATGAAAATGAACCCATTTTACCCATGAAAATGATAAAATGTTATTACACTCACACATCATTATCATCAGAGTTAGGTAAATTTACTTTTTAAGGTTATGCATTATGTTTTGCATTACTCCTTAAACAAGTAACTGATTGTGTTACTATGTTACCTTTTATGTAAAGTAATGTGTACCATTACTTTTGTGTTACTTTTCCTCAGCTTGTACAGTAGAGGGCGACGCTCAAACAACCCTTTCAGCTGTGCTGCCATTCTGGGTGAGATATTTGTGCAATTTAACATATTTAATTACTGCAGGTTTGCAATAATATTCTGAGTTTGAATTTCACAGTTTTTATTCATTTTGAGAAATACTGAATCGATTTTTGGCCGATTTCGAATTAGTAAATTTACTCTTATGAATATTAAATTCACCGAAAATGTACAGAAGTAGTTTTTGACTCAAAATATCGGATAACGTGTTTGTTAGTGCTCTGCTACCAGAGGGACTACGGCCACCATCACCTGTGTGACGTCATCCACTCCAACCGCAGCATAGCGACCGAGCTTGACTACGGGGGAGAACCGCCGCACACAGACACTTAAAGGAAAACACAACATTTGGAAACAAATGAGAAAGAAACGCGCTACTTTTTTTCAAAGAAATTGCCGAAATGCAGCGGAGGTGATAGGAATACATCGGCAAAACACGAAGATACGGAATACGATTGTGTGGAGTAACTAACTGTTTGCGGTGCCTGTAATACAGCGAGCTTTTGGGCTAACAAGCTAGCACAGTTGTCGCTAAAACATGGTGGGCAGACACTGAGCGAAAAAACCCACCATAGACTCGCTCATATGTGGATAATACTGGAATATTAGCTCTATTTTCTGCTCGGAGGGAATTGTGTGGGCTTTAAAATCGACTTTTGACTTCTTTTTCTCGGAGGAAAACTCTCGCGCACGACCTTTGAAAGTTTTTTGACGTCTCGCGCAAGTTCACCATCCATCAATCTCCGCGAGGATGGGATCGACTGTTTGATGAGCGAGAATGCACAAGAAACGAGCAGTTTCTGAACACAAAAGCGCAACTCCTGCGGCAAACTTACGCGATTCAGAGCATCACGCCCTCGTCCATTCATTTAACAGCGTTTAACAACAATGCTCGGTGTCGCCTGCACGAATTGAACTGGGATATCGGAACACGTATGATATGGAATACATCTGTCAGTGGTTAATTAATGGCACTTTCCTTATGCGTGGGGTTTAACTTTTTTGGACTAGTCCACGCAAAGCAACACATGGTTTGCTTTCAAATCAACTTAGAAGACTTACAGAGCAAATTACATGGAGACTAGTTGGTCATGCCAAGGAAGGAGTTACCATTGCCAGAGGGTTGGGAAGAGGCCCGAGATTTTGACGGGAAAGTCTATTATATAGACCATATAAATCAAGCCACCAGTTGGATTGACCCAAGGGATAGGTATGTGTTGAGCTACTGGGAATGCGTACTTGCTTCCTCTTCAGTATACAGATGCATGCTGAGTCCATTACTGTTTGTTCACTGAATGTGTTCTTCTTTAAATCTTCAATTCAGTGTTGAACTACTGCTTTGTTTCACTTGAACCCATGATCAGTGCTACTTAAGTCTTCCTGGACTTTAACACAAAATCTGTGCTGGAATGCTTAAGATTATGTTCGAGGTTTGGTATGTGCACTGGGGTGTTTTTCCTTCCCTCCTTTGGATTTTCAGTTATTTACAGCGTGCACAGAAATGGAAAGATGATAGCAAACAGACCGCATATTTGTCCTCTTTGTGTGGTGCAACTGGTTTGCCTGTAGCCAGGAAATCAAGATGGCAGAAAGTTGTAAACAAGTACCTGGGACACATTCCTGAGCATTGCAGGCAAGGTGCAGGACGGGGTCAAAGTGCACCCGAGCTGTGCAAACTTTAACAGAATGGTCAAATAGTTTTTGATGCCTTCCACACTTGTTTGCACGGTATAAGAGCCAAAAAATACAAATTAAATTCTGTCATCTTTTGCTCGCCCTCATGGCATTCCAAACCAGAGTGACTTTCTTCTGGAATACAAATAAAGATATTTTGAAAAATATTAAATATTTGATGATATTTCTCTGTGTGTGATAAAAACAAACAAAAAAACAACATTTTTTTATATGCATACATTGAAAGTATGCAATGCTGCTTTAGACAGCACAGACTTTCATTGTATGGACAAAAACAGTTGAAATATTTTAAAAATACCTTCATTTGTGTTTCATAGAAGAAAGTATGTCATACATGTTTGGAATGACATTAGGATGTTTTTTTGTGTTAGTCAGTGTGTATAAATAAATGGAGTTAGAAATACATGCATGTATATAAATATATTATTTTATATTTAATATTTTATAGGCAGAATACATGCACATATATATATATATATATATATAATATTTCTGCCTTTATATAATGTAAAATATTTAAAATATAAAATGTAAAAATAATATAATATACATAAAATAATAATAATATAATATAATAATAACTTTTCTATTTTAGTAAACTAATTTATTTATGTGATGAAAGCTGAATTTTCTGTATAATTACTCCATTTTTCAGTGTCACATGATCCTTCAGAAATCACTATAATATGCTCAAGAAATATTTCTGATTATTACCAATGTTGAAAACAGTTTTTGCTGCTTCATAGTTTTGTGGGAACCATAATAATGGGGGTTCATTGAAAATTAAAAAAAAAGTTAAATGAACATAATTTATTTGAAATAATATTTTAATGTTATGTATGTCTTTATTTTCAATTCAGTTCAGATCAATTTAATGCACCCCTGCTAAATTAAATTAAAATGTGTGTATATATATATATATATATATATATATATATATATATATATATATATATTAGGGCTGTCAAATGATTAATCTCATCCAAAATAAAAGTTTGTGTTTACATAATATATGTGCGTGCACTGTGTATAATTATTTTGTACATATAAATACACATACATGCATGTATATTTAAGAAAAAAAATATTTATATGTAAAATATTTATATTTATATATAATATAAATTATACAAACTTTTATTTTGGATGCGATTAATCGTTTGACAGCCCAAATATATATATAACCCAACTTTTGAATTTTAGTGTATCACTTTTCATTAAAAAAAAATAGGAAGTCAGGTTCAATTAAATTCAGATCAATGTAATGCATCCCTGCTAAATTAAAGTACTAGTATATATATATATATATATATATATATATATATATATACCCCAACTTTTGAATTGTAGCGAATCACTTTTCCATAAAAAAACTGTTCTCATCATCATGTAGACTGAAGAGTAATGATGCTGAAAATTCAGTTTGGCATGTCACTGTAATAAATGACATTTTAAAATACATCTCTCACATTTAGTGATATTTCACAATGTAACTTGTTTTTACTTTGATAATTGAAATGCAGCCTTGGTGAAAACAAGACACTTCTTTCAAAAACAGAAACTAAAATCTTAATTATTCTAAACTTTTGACCTGTTGTGCATGCATGTGAAATTTTGATGTCAAATGAATAAGAAATATTTAAGATAAATCAATAAATGATGACAGATTTTCGGACCTCTCTCTTATTCCGATGTCATGAGGTCGAGCAACCGCACGGAAACAAAAGCTGAGGCTCAACAGACGTCTGCGCGCTCATGGCTGGTCTGTTATTGCACAGTGTGGTGCATCAAAGGCGCTGATTAAAAATGACAAATATTTCCAATCCTGACCTAAAACTGTCATCAGACGCCGCTTCTCTTCTCCACTGCTGAGCAACAGGGAGCTCTGATGTTTAGCTCTTCTTGGTAATCAGCTCCATTTGACTGCGTTCTTAAGGCTAATGCTCACAGCCCGCCCTCCAGTCATTCATTAATTATAATATTAATAATAATAATGATAATGTGCTGCTTGAGATTGTTAAACAAATCTGAGGTTTTGGTTGAGTAATTACATGCATTCAAAGTGTTGGTATTAGTAATGATCTTGTTTGTCTGGCAGAGTTTGGCTTGTTGACATCACATCATTATTGCTTTTGTTCAGTACTGGCA